GGTCATATTATTCGTAAGACCAAACGAAACTTTAGTTCGACTGGTGTCGGTAGGACCATAAAGACTTAGCATTGAACAGTATGTTTACTCACTGCGAAAAGACTGCAGTAACTCCATAGAACATGGGTCAAGGTGTAAATTTCACATTGTTAGCAACTCTTATATGCAAACTCATATGTAATTTCTGTGGTAACACAGGTACCTTTAACACTGTACTGTACAACGAATCTTTAACAGAAGACATCAACTTAGACTGCACTGCCACGAGGCCTCCAGCTTCATAATCATGGCAGCTGCCATCTTTAACGGAAGTCAAAGCTACACGTATGACCAATTTGCCCACGTTGGGCCCACGTTGGGCCAACATCGTTCCCCAACATGCACGTTCCGCCAACGTTTCCCACCTTTACCCGACGTGGGCCCAACGTAACGTGTTATCGGGGATATGGCGAGGTACTAAACAATCCTGAGATGGACGATTCAGGGGAAAGAGGGAAGGGAACTTTTGCGTACTGTGAAAAGCGAAACCCATACCTCCATATAGTGAAGTTCTCCACCAGGAGTTCCGCAATTCTTATCAACGTGGGGATATGCCCACGTTAGGCCCACATTGAGCCAACATCGTTCCTCAACATTTACGTTCCGCCAACGTTTCCCATCTTTACCCAATGTGGGCCCAACATAACGTGTTATCTGGGAATAAACAGCTCCCTCTGATAATTTTGGAGATTGAAATACAATATTCTTATTTTTGAAAAAATTGCAACTTTCCCTGATCAGCAAGCACAAAAACAATTATAATTGCCCATTGGAGGGTTCTAACCCAGATATGCCAGGAGTCCAATATGTAGGATTTCGTGCAGAGATGCGCTCGAAAACAGTTACGTTACTCAGAATTATCTTGTCAGGCATCAAGTACCTCGAATTTGACGCCCCCCCCCCCCCCCCCCCCCCCCCCCCCCACAGAATTTTCTTGTCAGGCACCAAGTCCCCCGAATTTGCCCCCCCCCCCCCCCCCCCGGTCTGCTTGTAATAAAGCCCGAATGGCTAATGGCTAATCAAGGTCAGTGGCGTGGGGGCGAAGGGGGGGGGGGGGTTAAAGGGGTTAGAACCCCCCCCCCCCTTTGAGCTTCCGGGTCAGTCAGTCTGACAGGCATATTACAACCTTCCTAGGGAATTCAGTTTTAACTATCCCCCAACTGTCCCCCTTCGAGGAAAATCAGATGTCCGTCCAAAGACCCAAGAAGCCTGACCACGATTTCTTCGAAAAGGTAAATTCCGAGTAATGGAGCTAGGCGTAGCAAAGGAGTGTCTACCTGGCCTCAACCCCTCCCACCCTTGCGGATTTCCTGCCTACGCCACTGATCAAGGTATAACATTATTGTGGGGTATATGATAGTACATCCACAAATTTATTAGAGAGATGTCACTGTAGTAGGCATTACTTCCCATACTTGGGGTAACAATGGCTCTATTGTTGAGCCCACTTTACTCCCTTCGACATCATGTCAACATGTCGGGAGTAGGGGAAAATCTTTGACAGCAGGCCATCCTGAATATGCAAAAAGAGGAGAACACAATTCACGACACAGCGCGGATTTTGATTGTCAGCCCGGCATCAGTTTCTAACGTTCGGAAGAGGAAACAAGCGAAGGTGATGGAGAAAAGGGGACAGAAGAGGATCCGGTTTTCGGCTATGGATTCCTTGGCTCCTTGCTTATTTTGAGAGAAAAATCTGATTCAACAAACGTATTATGTTACATATGACCTTTTCATGTCGAATTTCGACAGAATTCTGTTACGGTGAAAATTCCAAGCAAATGATATCTATGTAAAGGGGAAAGGAGAGGCATACCAGCGAGTAGATTAGTATAGTGAAAGAATCGCAGGGAAAGAATCACTAAAAGTATATGATATCATTACACGGTACTGATATACTGTGATGTAGTGATGGAATAAATAATCAAGAGTGTAACTCCGGTGAAGATTTGCACCAGTTGTGCAATGAATGACGTCAGAACTTTCTCTCCCACTCCCAGGTGTTGGTTAAAGTATCACCGCAAAATTTAAATTAAGTCTTGCTGTGAAGCATGGGCATGTTGGCCACTCTCTACAGCCACAGATTCAGCGGGATTTGCAGATCTATGTCAACCCATCTATCCACCACGTCAATAGCTCTCTCCATAAATTCACTCAGATTCATTCAATTGTTCGAATGCAACATAGCCTGAGGCGTGAGAAGCATCGAAGGATGACGATGAATGATTCCTGCTGAAATGCTTGGGATTGGCAATGTTGTGTTTCCTGAATGTCTTGCACTGGAGCCACTCTGATCGTGGAAATCGACAAAACATTTTGTTTAGGTCTCGGCAGGATTCAGAAGCCGGATGCTTTCATATGGCCAGCAATTTTGCATTCTTCCAAACTGAGATATGATGACAGTAGGGAGAACACCGGGATCATCCTTATTGCAATTATTGCCTATGTATGGGTATTGTATACTTCAGTGACATCTCTCTAAAAAACTTTTGGATGTACTATGACCTCTCTTCCATAACTGCACCATATAAACAATATTGAAAATGTAAAAATGTATTTGGTGGTACGGATTCATCCGCAAATGATTGTAGGTACATTTTCAATTAAACTTTTCCAGTTGGAAATAAAAGCGACGGGAATGGAGAAGGTGCCGCCACATGCGCATCGATCGAGTACGCTCGTGTTCGCTCTCTTCCCGTCTCCATTCGCATGGTGAGTGGTCCTCCGTTCTCGCTCTTTCGCATTTTCTTTTTCTACTCGGAAAACGTATCTAATGTGGTATACTGTGGGAAGGAAAAATGGTCTCCAGGAAGTAGCCTAAGGTTTAGGGGTAGTAAAGTCTGGTGGCCTGCGGAACTGAGGAAGCAAGAGGGATAGCATTGGGAGATGATCGATACGCAGACAGGTCACGGGAAGTGCCTCTGGAGACCATGTCCTATGTGCTTTGTTTTATTAGGGAAAGTGATACTCGTGAAGTTCGTTCCTAGGGTGGACCTTCATATTTGCGAAAACCGATCTAATAGGGACAGCCCCATCGTCTCTCGATTTCATGCGTGACATGGTCGGTCAAAATGAGTTAATTTAGTCGTGGATTTGTAGACTTTTTGGTCTGTGTAGGTCAAAGCCTAATGAACCCGTTGGAAGCGCGTATGTTTCGTTACATCATTAAGTTCTCTGCCATTGAATACATCTTTGAAATGTCTGCTACCATTTGAAACTAATACTTTAGTGCTCTTGTTTTTGGTCAAAGCTAACCTCTAATTAATTATGGGTAGAGGTGGGGATCATGAATACAGGTACCAACAAAATTCACCAAGCATTTGAAAGAACTGTTCATACTCTTGAGGTATAGCATGGTGAATGCTGCAACTGCATGATGCACTGAAAAATCCAGTCAAGTATGTTCAACAGCTGGACTGCAATCCTGTGATGCATTGAGAAATGTGCCATACAGCAGGCTGATACTGCCTGAATAACATGCAGAAGTTTGTGCTGTATAGCATGTTAACTGGAAAATAAAAAATTTTTTGGATGTAGTAGAGTGTAGTACTGCATTGAGCATGCAGCATGCTGTACAGCACAAGTATGGGCTCTGCCTTACTCTTGTTTAAGGTAGTTGATAATGGGTCTTTTAGAGACAACAGAGCAAACCATTTCCCAAAAAGCTAATTTTCTAGACCATTGACTACCTCATGCAAAAATTAGTTCCACCTACTCGGCAACTGGAACATGGCCACTGCATGACTAGAACATCTAATTTTAGATCATTAGTGAAACTGGAACCAGGGCTTCATTGACTTTTTGAGCACTTGAGTGATTTGGCTTACTTCAGTGGATGGACCCAATTAAATGGATTAGTTGTTGCATTGGAATTGGTGGCAATTAAGAATAGAATTTCATTACTGTTGCTTGGTCTGGTCACATGCAATAAGCTAATAAACGATTGTAGGTCTGTGCAGTGTAGGAAAAATATAATTTTTTTCCTGTGAATCTGAGGTGACAAATTGGAATTTCCTGGGAAAGATATGCAAGCGGGCTGGGCAGGTCCTGCCTGCCTGCGCGTCTCCATTCCTGCAAACCTCGTTCATAGGTTAAGGGTTTTCCTAACCTGGGTCCACATCATCCATTATACTAGGTTGAGGAAAAAGTTTGTGCGCCGTTTGCGACGTTGAAGGTGAAGGTACAGTGGCACTGTACCTTCACCTTCAACGTCGCAAACGGCGCACAAACTTTTTCCTCAACATAATATTTTGTGAAGATTAAAACCTTTTTACAAGAGCATATTTGGATCATCTGGAAATGTGGCCTGCAATTACACTTATAGTTAGACAAGACACAATCTATGTCTTTCGTTATTGTTATTATATTCCATCATATAGGTGTGGTAGTTTTAGTAATGTGAGTTTCATTTGTGGTCTCTGTTTTTCCAGGAGACATCTGATAGCACTTCTTGAAGTGTCCTTCAGTTGAGATTTAAGAACTATCCGAAGTGACCTCTGATTGGATATGAGAGCAAAGGTTAGTTAGACATTGACATGCCTTCTTCATTTCAAACATTATTAGGTATGGGTGAAATAACTGAATGAAATGTTTAAGCTTTGGCATATGCAGGGTTGGGCCAAAGAGAATTTCAGTGCCTTGGCACTGAAATTCTCTTTGAGCCTCCTATTGGCCCTCTTCACCCAGCTCCCTTCCCCAGCTTAAAACTACCATAACATCAGACCTCCCTTCTGAAAATCCAGCATATATCACTGCCAGTATGTCTACTCATTCTGAGTTTGCTTCAAGTTTTTTTAATCCTGTCTTTATCCTTATATGAGGTTGCAATCCCATGTGAGGTAATCTGTAGGTCCTTCATTCATGGAGAAAGGACATCAAGGGCATATTTCATGATAAAATGAACAGATGGAGCATCATGAGGCATGCATTAGATTGCCCTGATATTGGTTATTTAAAAAACTTGAAATGTGTAATAGTGTAGTGTCTACTTATGAAATACAGTCGATTTAGTCATGATCATCTATTAGGGGCATACACAGGATAAGAATGGAGGTGGTTGTGATGAGGTTGATGGGCTGGGGGGGGCAGAGGGGTGTTGTCAGGCTGAGCCCCTGGCAATACTCTGAGAACCCCCTCCCTACGTACACCCCTACCATTAGTATTGTATGTGGTCCATCCTGAAGTTCAAACGTTGTCACAAATGAAGAAATTCACTATTTAAACTGCTTTCTCAGAACCCACTTCGCATCAGAGTTAGTTCTTCAATGTGACTGACCTCACACTTGGCCGAGTATTGGTGGAGAGGGCTTCATAATGAGACCCTGTTCTGGGATATCCTTGCCGAGATCAGATGTCAATACCTGGTGTGATGATCCATCCTGGACTTGAAAAACCTTGTTCAGTGCTTTTGATTGAGTTCTTAACAGTCTTAACCATGTGGACACATAATTTACTGATGGCAGGGGTATATATAGGGGAGGCTTGGCCCCTGAATAGGCCCCACCCTGACTCAGCCTCATTGCAACCAACCCCCTTGGCCTGCTTATGCCCCTGAAAGATGGTCATGCCTCCTAAGTTGACTGTATTCCTTAAGTGGATGCATACTATACCATTATAGGTCTGAAAGTGGTAGTGTCTAGTTTAAAACTATCTTAGTGACACTTGCAGACACTTGACATCAAGAATGTACTGTGTTCACATGAGTCAGGATTTCTGCCTTTCTGCAGTGGGAAATTGAGTTTCGTAAACACTTGGATGATATTTGCTAAACCTTTTGGAAGTGCTGGAGCACTATCCCTACAACTTCTCTTATGTGCAAGATTTACATGAGGCAATGTTCATATGCTACACAAGGTTTTCCTTGTTTCGTTCTGGTGTCAAATTATATTTATGCATTCTTTCTATTTAGTGGAGGAAGAAGCGGATGCGCAGGCTGAAGCGAAAGCGCAGGAAGATGAGGGCAAGGTCCAAGTAAACTATCCTTCACACTGTAGCATCTCCACATATCCTGATGTATGTTCTCCTCTTGTTTTAGAGAAGAATATTTCTCCTTTCCTAATGTTTTCTATTAAAATGTTTGACTCGATTTGTCTTAGAAGTGAGGATATAAAAACTTCTTTTGATGGGGAGAGGAAGTCACAAAGAACTTGAATGTCATTTCCATATGACTGACAGTTTCCAATATTCCTTGGGAGTGGATTTTCAGTGGATGTCGTTACAGGTAATTTGAGGTTTCTCGTAACATGCTTTGATCCAAAGTATCTTGTAAGGTAGTTTTCATTGGGGTTGAAATAGTCAGCATGGGATGTCCTGTGATGTAATACTTTGCATCACCAATATGAACTGGGCCTAAAATGCTGAGGGTTTTCATATAAGATCATATTTGTTGAGGTTCCATCGTCATCTTTTCAATATCAGGTAGTGCCATTTGTAAGAACATATATGCACATTTTTTGTGACAGCATGGCTTTCTATACTATTTTCTGAAGGCTTCCTACTATAGTTAATAGTGAATGTGAATAGATTCATAATTCCTTTCATTCACCTGCTCTTTGATAGTTATCTCTTAGATGCACAATCTCATGATTTCAGGCACTCCTTGATATGAAAGTTTACTATGAGTAAGAGGGAATGTGTTCACTTTTTGGCAACTATGTTTGAATTAAATCATGTGGAGAAATAAAAGTCTCTGATGTGGAGTAATATTTGAGGAAAATGTACCTGGAGATCATTCAGTTATATTAGTAATGAATAAGTTCTTGAATTCATGCTGACAGCTGTTTTTTGAAGGAGTAGTAGCCCTCTTATATCTTATTTGCTTAAATTATTATCCTAGTTTTCATAGACCAATTTGTCTGTAACTGTGATACCTGATTTTTTAACTCCCCCCTCCCCCAGAATTGAAAATTGAATGTTTTTCATGTTAATGTTTATATCTCTGTAGTTGGTCAAGGTTGGAGAGGGAAAGAAAGGAAGAATGAATGTAGAAGAAGCTCCTAAGGATCCTTTGCTCAGCCCTTTGCCATCGTTATTGAAAGATGTTCTGACACCCCTTGGGCAGAAGTTGGTATTGAGAAGTCAAACTCGATCAAGAGAAGCTCCATTTGCTGAGAAGTACTTGCGTCACTTCCTCCCAGTGACTGACCAGAGTGGATTGAAAGAGGGACTGCACAGTGGATTTGTGTTGGGAAATGTGCGGCTTGATCGACCTAAACAACAGCCAAGGGTGAGGAGAAAACAACTGAGTGCCCGGGAAAGGAGACGCCTTGGGATCCATAGGCTGGATGCCAAGAATCGCCGCTTCTCTGAGTTCCTGCCACTTCACCGTCTCTGGCAAGGATACATGCGGGAGTTTCTGGGTTTGGAAGGACTGAAACAACAAGGCTGGGAATGCAAGCATTGGGAGGGTCCTCATGCTCGTCTCTTGACCAAGCTCTGCCGAGCAGACTATCACGGTTGCCTCTTGAAGGTGACTGCATCTCGTTGTCCATCTCTCATTGGAATCTGTGGCATTGTGGTGAAGGAAACAAGGAATTCTTTTCTCATCATGGAGCGATCCAACACCATAAAGACCCTTCTCAAGGATGGTTCACATTTTGGGTTCCTGCTAGATGGGTATTTTTTCACCTTGTATGGGACCGCTCTTCTGATGCGTCCTGCAGACCGTTCCACAAGGAAGTTCAAGATCAACAAGAACACTGTCCAGCTTTAGACCTCACTCAGGATCATGTGTTTGATGTTTCAGGTTTATTTTGACCTTTGTTCAATGATAAATGGAATATAACCTCATTGTGTTTTCATTGCCCCTTCCTCCCAGACCCAATGAACTGCTGCTTTTTAAGTGTTACTGCAGTGATTTTCAACTGCCCAATTTTTCCACATGTTCAGGCAGAGGGAATCTGCAGGTCCCTTGCAGAACTCTGGGCTTTGCTATTGCCATGAAGATGCTTATTGGTTGTTAAAATGGTCTTTCACGTGTGCATTCAGTCATTGCTGTGGTTAGACTGGAGTCTTAATGAAATATTCAGGTCATAACAATCACCATTATATGTGACACAGAAATGAAATGGCAAAATTGTGTGGATGCAAAGGCATTCGCACTTGTCTTCTTTGCGAGAAGGAATTTGGTATCAAACCCCGTGGACCTGCCAGTCTTACGGTGAGTACTTTTTAGCCTTTGACACAAATTTGACCTTTATTTCATTACTATTAATTTGTCAAACTAAAACTATGGATTACTGAAGACAATAGCAATGGCAATGAACTATTAAAAATAAGTTCTCACATTGTATTGAAAAAGAAAGCCATAAATGTGAAAATCATTCAGCTCCTTGAGCCTGGTCCAGGCCTGTTTCACCTGAGGCTACCATGCTTCATAAGTTCTCATGAGTGGATATCAAATGGATAAATTTTTATTTTACGTTCTCTCCTTGGATGAAATTCTGAATTGGATATTCCTGATCATATGTCCCTTAATCCTTTCTGGTCCATTTTAATTGTAACACTGTGGAGATTGTCAGACTATGTCTGCCAGTGGACTGCAAAGGGTCCAAGGCTTATCCCACCAAGCTGTAGCAGGCATGCAAGGATTTGACCTCTGTATGGCATCCAAAGCACATGTGCCCATTGGAGTTTTCCTCATTGTCCAGCTTGGTTTGGCATTCAGCTGATTCCAGTGGTATCTAAATATGAAGCATGCCTTCATTCCTTGAGGGGAAAAGAAAGTCAAGAACCATGAGATGTTACATACAAGCTGATAGTGGTATCCTAAATGTATTGAAAGTAAAAGAATCCATAGCAAAGGGAAATTTTGCATCTTGTGCAATATACCTGTGGTCAGTTTAAAATGTAGTTCTTACTTTCCATCAGGGCTTTGTGTGTTATGATATTTGACCTACATATGAAGTGAGAAATGACTAGTTTCTCCATTTACACCCACGTGCCAAAATATTAGAAGCTACAGTCAAGCACCAGGTGTTACTGGTTAACAGTCCTTTCCCTGCTAATTTTTTTTGTTGCTGTGCTGAGTTTTTTATTCCTTCCGCCTCATGGTGTACTTTAGTTATAAAAAAAAGGAAAGCATATGTTCATGCATTTACCTTATGTAAGTAAATGACAGGTACATATTTTCCTGAATAATCTCGAGTAAGAAGCACAAGAAGCAACATTCTTCTGTGATTTAGGCAACTCATTCATAGCAGTTAAATGTTTCATATATAATTTGAACTTAAAATTAGATTTCTGACATTTTCACCATCTTATCTGTTTTCTGTAGCACAGTTTAAGTTGGTTTGATGTTGTGGTTCTTGAGGTACTGCTAAAATGGCAAAGCCCAGCTATTTTGATGCTTTTCTCTGAATAGCTGTTCCAATGTGCCATCATCTAAGGTCTGCATGCTAAAGTTGCCATCATATAATGCAGTATTCTTTATAAATCATACTATTTCATGTGTCATGTTTCTGAATTTGTGAAGTTTTGCTTTTCAACTTATCAGAAAGCGAAAACTCCTGGTTAATGGAGTTCAGCATTTTTGTTCAAGTTCAATATCCGTTCCAGCAAGAATTTAATGAACAGACACTTAAGTATGTTGAAAACTGGAAGCTGTATTGAAGTCATTGGTTAATGAGAAAATGAATAAATGTTTCAATAATGATTTTTATGCTTTTTCCTTACATAGCCCTATGACTCAATTCAGGAAACATACCTTCTGCCTTTTAAAGCTGTAGTATCACTCATATTTGCCTTTTCAGCTATTACCTCAAGAAATGCTGCACTAAAAACAATCAACATTTACATTACCAGTATAGCTATGTTTAGTGCACAGTTACTTTTGATAAACCCTCTATTATGAAATATTAAAATCCCATAGTGTTAACTGGGATACTCTGTACTTTGCTGGAAGTTTCTATTGTTTTGGCCAGTGTGTGTATCCTCCCAGAGGAGGAGCCTCTCTAAGTCAGTTCACGGGATTTGAAGTGCTTGAATTTTAGCACTGACCAGTCTTGTCCAAAAGCCATTGTTTCTGGGATGTTCAAACAAATATATACACCTTTTAAATGAGGATTAAAGTTGTCTGCACAAATGTCAGTCCTCTTGGAACACAGACTGTGAAAATGATCATTTCTGGATCATGATGATCCTTGTATGGTAGAACTTAAACTCGAACAAAGAGATTGATGACTCACCAAAAATGAAAGCTTTGTTTTTTTTGGCCCACCCTGTATATGCAAAGGGTCATACAGATACAACTTTCTGCATGGTATGGACCCAAATCCAATGCTGTCCTGTGCATTATTAATGATATCTCTTGATGTTCTACCCTTAATTGCGATTCATGCATCTAGTGATGAGTGTAATTAGAATCAAATTTGGCAGATGTGTTTGAACTGCTTGTATGTTTGAATAGCAAGGTGATGGCATTGGTTTTGATGAGACGAGTTGCAAGGTTGTAGTTTATAGTAAACTAAAATCACTGTGAGAAGTACATCTCACTAAAATGCTGCTAAGGGAATTGAATCCCACTATTCTCAGCAAACATGGACTGTTGACATGTTTCTGCAATATAACTGTGACAACTCCCATTCATCTTACAATCCACACCTAGTGCTTTGCAACCTCTATTTGCCTTACCTGTCAAAGAGGGTCCTTTGAGGGCAGCATTTTGACTTTGACTAGGAGGTGCTACAGACAGTAAATGCTCCTTTGGCAAGCCATGTCAAAGGAATCATTTGCACTCACTTGACTACTCAAGCTGGTATTCTAAGTATGCACTCACAACCTTATGCATTAGCCAGCAGTGGTACTCCAAAAAAAAATTACTGGCTTTAGTTAAGGGAGATGATTCACCATTAAAGAAAATGTTTGACATTTATGATAGATTATGTGGCAAAGTTGCCATGCAAAGCATCATTTTTATGTATCTAACATAAACCCAATAAACATTTTTGTCCTGCTACTTTTGAATACCCTTTCATAATAAACCTATACTAGCATGAATAGGCAGAAGTCTTAAGAAAACATGCTGTTACACAGTTATCAGTGTCTTGTTATAGAAGCTTGGTTTTTCTGCAACAGGTGTCATATTGCATTGAGAGAGCCTAATATATATCTTTTTTTTCCCTCAAGGATCCGAGAGAGACACATATTTACTGCCCCCTCTGTAACTTAGCTTGGCGTGGTTATGATATGAATGCATGGAAGACTCATCCCCACCATGAGGGAACTCCATTCAGTCTCCCTGGTGTGTTCTTACTGGTAAGTAATGAATTTTGTTTTCACTTGGCCTTATTTTTTTTTAGACAGCATCATCATGATATCCCATGTTATGTTATCATGGAAATTTTTTTTTTTATAAATTGAAGTAAAGCTAAAGACATGATTCCAACCCAAATGGGAAATGAATCACTATGGGTCAAATGACCCTCTAGGATCTCACACCCCACTTGAAGGGTTTTTCCATGGTGAAAAAACTGTAATGAGAGGTTGATCACAACAGGTTTCTATTCCACAGCCTGATTTCCTGACACAGGAGGAGGCAGATGCCCTAATGGAAGGTATGGATGCATTACCATGGAGTACTTCTCAGAGTGGGAGGAGCAAGCAGGTTTGTGCCATTTGTATTGAAATTGTGTGATCCATTTCAGACAACAAGCAGATTTACCTCCAAGTATTTGACTAGGAACTTCCTTATTTCATTCTCTAAAACACTTATGTGTCTGAAGGGAAGTTTACACTGACTGCATGGCAGAGCATTGGGTATTTATGATGACTAGGAGTCTACTTAGTGCACAGGAGCTTGTGCTTTGCCATGTGGTTGGTGTAAACTTGTTTAGTTTCTTGCCCATGGCAAGTTTTTCTCATTCCATTTTTGGTGATTCAACATAAAGATGAATGGTGATGTCCTGTGGTAAAATCTGTGTTAACTGATTATTTGCAGAACTTTGGTCCAAAATGCAACTTCAAAAAACAGAAGTTGAAACTCGGATCATTCCAAGGATTTCCCTCGTTCTCAGAGTTTGTTCAAGAGAAGCTGTCTTCAGTGCCACTACTAAGTAACTTCAAGACAGTGGAGCAGTGCAACATGGAATATGACCCAAATCGTGGGGCTTGCATCGAACCCCATGTTGATGACTGTTGGGTGTGGGGGGAAAGAGTGGTCACGTTGAACGTGATTGGAGATGCAGTTCTCACTGTGACCCCATATTGTGGAGACAGATCAAAGTATAACTTGAACTGGAGAACAGACTACAACCCTTTGACATCAGAGGTAAAGAACAACACTATTGAGAAGACTCAAGCCGTGATTCGCATTCCATTGCTGGCTCGTTCTCTTGTGGTCTTGACCGGAGCAGCAAGATATGACTGGGAGCACTCTGTCCTTCGAGAGGATGTCCGGGAGAGACGGGTCTGCATTGCCTATCGAGAGTTCACTCCTTGGTTCCTGCCGGGGGGACGTTTCTATGAGGAAGTGGGCAAAGATGTCCTTCAGGCTGCTTGCAACTTCTTCTGATTGTTTTTTATTTTAGGATTCTGTTATGATGCTTTTACATTCACAATCACTTGTGATTACTATATACTATTTATCAAGGTTAATCTTCTCTTGTTCTCTGTTGCCTGTGATTATATGAAAAGAATGTGAAACTCAGAAAGGAAGATATTTCATTGAATTCCAATCCATCAGAACATAATTCATTCATTTTTTGGCCCCTCACTGAGGAGCGGAGTTCCTGCTCCCACAGACATTTGTGTAACCAGCAATGCTTCAACGTGAATAAAACAAACAGGAAAATTTGATGGTATGGTTCATTGCCATTTGGCAAGGACGAGGGCACGGACGGGTTTGCTAGCACGGCGGATGAAGGAGAAAAGTCTAGAACGAAGGAGAAGGAAGCAAGCGTAGAGAAGAACAAGGCCGAGGAGCGTGTAGGCACAGCTGAAACATTCCTGCCAAAAAGCACGATGAAGGTACGAAGAGACGTTTGTGGATAGGAGGAGGAAGGGAAAGAAGAAGGCATCTTCGATCTCCATCCAGACTGTGAAGGCACCCACACCCAAGAGGTAATAGGTGAACAGAACGAAGAGGATGAGAAGCAGAGGAACCTGAGGGGTCGGAAACCCATCACCGCTTCTCTTCTCGACGTGATGATCCTCGTCTTTGCTTCGATGGGATTGATCTCCCCGATCTTCTTCGAGGCGGACATGGAACACCTTATCGGATGGAAGAATCCCATTAGACTTCACACTCTGCACTTCTCCCTGACCCTCTTTGTAGATGGACCAAGCTCCATAGATTCTTCGATACAATTTGGCCATGCTGTATCCGAGGGAAGAGCCGAGGTTCACGACGATCAGGAAATAAACAGGGATCCCGACGAGGGCGAATGGGATGAGGAACACCTTGCTCCAATGAGATTTCGGCCATGAACCTAAACCTGAAATAAGGAAACCCAAAACTCATTAAGAAAGTAAACTAATCCAGAACTGGGTCTTGACGTTAGTATTGCGACTATTTTTTGTTGTTGCGGAAGTTGAGCTACTTATGCTCTGGAGTGATCAAGCCATTAAATTGCTCTATATAATAATTACGTTGTTGAGACCAGACCAAGAACGATGACAAGTGCGACACCACGTAGCGTTGTCTGAAAGAGACAGATCGTCATTTGATAGCACTCTCATGCCCTCTCTTCTCGTTCTCTTTAGCAATGCAGCTATTTGATAAGTAAGTGTTATTGTTTAATTGCACTTCATTGCCAGAACAAAAACAGTCGATTGAGCTGTTTTCGACCTCGCTACTTAGTTGTTCAAGACTGTGCGCACATTCTGCAGAAGAAGCTGCATGCTCGGGACACGTATGAAAGAACTCGCAATTGCTCTTGAATTTTTTAGAGACACGACCGGGATGCCGCTGTGAGAATGGGGTCACGGTCCCTCGAAAGATGACGTGATTAGGCAGAGGCACTTCCCACTTGCCGGATCCCCCATCGATTTTCCCCCTGATGGCATCTCCCCCCTCCCCTTCCCTTCGTTTCCCATTCCCTCCTGGAACACGCGACCGCTCTCGTACGGCTTATTGAATCGATGTCCCGAAATGGCCAGCCGAGATTTCCTCCTTTCTTTCTCCGTTTCCTTTTCGCCTCCAATGCACCGCGGCGAAAGGCAGACAAAATGCAGATCGCATCGTGAGGACAGAAGGGCGGAAGGAGATCGATGAGGGCATGGCGTGAGGGACACGACGATTGGTCACCGGGTTATCAAGCCGATGACCGAGCCCATCATTTATTCATCAACCCAGCAGGCATTTCCCTCTCTCGCTACCCAAACGAAATGTCTTCTCTCTCATCAATCTCCGCACAATGGGAGGTCGAAACTGCAACGCCAAAAAAAGTAGCCTGCAAGGCTACTTTTTTTTGGAAAAAAGTAGCCTGCAAGGCTACTTTTTTTTGGCAGCAAGGCTACTTTTTTTTGGCAACCCGCAACCCTATACCTCACAATATCACGTCCGGGCGTGAAAACGAGCAATATTTCCCATTCCTATTTCGCTCGGCCGATTCGAAAGAGGATAGAAAGAGAGGTTCAGCCGGCCTTACCAGAGGTGGACATGATGGACAGGGCCTGAAGCCAGGCTCCCCCGAGCCCGAACCTCATCGTCCCCTCGGAAGGACGATGAAAGACGACGAGTTCCTCGTGTTTCCCGACGTACTCCTGGATCTTCTCCTTCCACACGTCCTCGTGAGGCGTGACCTGTCGCAATTCCGTGGCCAGGTCGTAGACGAGACCCGACTGGGCGTCGAGGAACGCCCTCCGCCGCTCCTCCCACCCGACCCCTTCCAGGGATAGCAACGCGAGGCCTCCGACGACGGACCAGGCGACCGCGAACACGCACAGAGCGAGGCCGGAGAGCACGACGCCGAGGCACGTCCTCGCGAGCCAAGGCCTGGCCTCGCTCACCGGCGACTCCAGCATCTCGTCCATCCACCTGCAGCAACCTCTTCCGTCCGGGAACGTTCGGAGGTAGAAGGAGGCCTCGTGGGTCTGCACGCTCCGGTCGCGGCAGTGGCGGAATTCCGCTCTCGACCCGTAGACGCCCATGGCACAGGTGGGGCAGGGACGGTCCAGTTCCGTCAGGTCTCCGCGTCTCACCGCTTCCAACGCCTTCTGAAGTTCGTCGTGGAAATTCCAGCTCCCGTCGCTCTCGTTCACGTACACGGCCTTTCCCTTCTTGGCGTTTCCGAGCACGGGGACGGCCCGATTCCCGTCCCCGTCGTCCTCGTGAAACAGATTCAAACGGAAAGTCTGGATCTCCGTGTCGAGATCCTCCTCGTTGATCTGCGTCCCGGCCGATCGACTCAGACTCGCCCTCAGGGCGCGAACACCTTGGACCGCCGGCTCCACCGTCACTTCCCGCGTCGTCGCGCCGTTCGCGTGACTCGCTGCGAAATCCTGTCCGAGTCGAGTTCCCTGCACTCGGATCGGCCGGGGTCGAGGGGTCACGAATCGGACTTTCCTGGGGTCCACGGGTTGGATCTGATTCGCGGACCAGGCGGATCCCGGACGAGATCCCACCGGACTGGGTCGAGAAGGCGGTCGGAATCGAGAAGACCTGAACGTCGTCTTGACGAGAGGGTCGTCGGGCGTGTCCGGGGGAGTCGGGAATTCCGGGCTCGGACTGTGACTGTGATGGAAGGAATAGAGGGGACGGACCGTGTGGGCGTAGTAGAGGTGATCCGACATGGCGCTGGCCGTGCTCTCCTTCTTCTTCAGACTGGGGACGGGGATGTAGGAGCTTCGCTGCCGTTGGCCCTGGTGGGGAGTCGGCGGGGGGGTGGGAGGGGGACTCAGGCGGCGGGGGGGCAGGTTCCAGTAGTCACGCATGTCCGTCGACCTCTTCCACGACATCTTCACGGTGCTTTCGCGTCTTCCCTCGCGTGTGCACTGGGGGGGTATCGTCTCATCGGTGTCGCCTCCCCCCGTTCCTGGAACAGATAACGAGGGTCTCCGCTAGCCACAGGTACACACGCGCACGAGTCGGGTAGGTACGAGGCCGATACACAGTGGCCATGAATATGCAATGAACGAGGGGGGTGGGACCTTCGATCCCGCGAACGCGTTTATCGCCTTCACACATCTCGTAAGGGGGTGGAAGAGGGGGAAGAAGGATGGGACCCCCTACGCATCGTTATGCCGTACCGTTTCGGTGGCGATTCCGAAACGTAATTACGTGGCTCCGGTGCGGATCTATTGAAAACTAAGGCGGGATTTTTGAACATAGCACAATCCACTGATGCAACTTTATTTTCAGGAAATATAACGCAGACCCCACCTGCCTTCCGAGGGATCCGCTTCGCGGATAACAAAATGTCAGCAGACATAAAGAACTCAAGGTTATTTTTTAATTAGCAGTAACGGAAAATACAATCAGTAATCAGATTTAGAGGGTGTCGTTGAGGTCCAAGAAACTGCGTAGTCCGATCCAAGAGAGAGTCATAAAGAAGTAGCATCGGGAAAAAACTAATTAACTTTTAAATTAATTAATCGATTAACATATTATTTATTTATTGTGCAAGCCTACAGACCGTGACAGTTGATACGAGACCACTCTCACCTTCGTATGATCGCTCCTTCATAGTTAGGTAATTCGGTTAACTGCGTATTAGAGAATTTATTTCAGAGAAAATGCATTATAAATCCGGTAAATAAAGCTGCATCATCGGATAGTTCTCAGTTCGAAGATCCACCCAAAGTTAAAGGAAAAGCAAAGTCGTCAGAACTTTTTTTTTCAGGAACCGGACGCAGTAATTTCAAATACGAGGTGAACTTCAGCTTCTACTGGCTTCGCTGACTTCTCTGGCTTCGCTGGCGAGGGAGCCAAGATGATGGATGGCGCGATCCGTGCCGGCCTTGATGAATATTGATGGTCTCGTTGCAAGACGAGGGTGTGCTGACTTTGTCCGTGATCGAAGGGGACGAAAACAGGACCGATTCGAAAGAACCGCAGAAAGAAAGAAATATCTCGGTCACGACGGCGGAGAAATCCGCGACACTCGTGCAGAAGGCTAGGAGAGTCCAGAGGGTTTATTTCCTTCCACTCAGACTGCACGCGATGCTTTATGCCTCTTTGCCTTCTCGGTCTCTCTTTGCTCTCTCTCTTTTCTCTCTCTCTCTCTCATTTTCTTCTCTCTCTCTCTCTCTCTCTCTCTCTCTCTGCTCTTTCATTCCCTCACACTCCATCTGCATCCGTCGAAGCAAGGGGCTCACGGGTCGCATGTTTTAAAAGAAGGAACTGGAGGAATGGATGCCAGAATTTATCATGCAACCTTCTCTAAGGCGCCATCACACGCGATGATTTTGCTCATATATGATTGATCCTCTGTGAGCTCGTGTAATCAGGGTCTATGAGCGACTCGTAGACTCACATATGAGTGGGATGGCAACTCGTAAGGTCTCGAGACATCCTTCACTTTCTTGCGGTCGCTCGTAGCAGATCGGTCGGTACGGTCAGCCGACGTGGCACTTACCGCACGACTGCGTCTTTCGATTTTGGTGTTCGACGAGTGCCAGTAGTTCCTTGATGTCGTGGTTGTCCTCGGAAGAGCACGGAAACGATGGGGATTAAACCTCGGGTGATTCTGGAGGAATATCGGCTTAGAAAATCTTTATTCGCCTCCTCGCCAGCTGTTTTTTGCATCCACTCGCGTCTGTCACTTCGCTGACATCCTCTAAGCTTCCTCAATAAAGTCCCTCAAACCAGTAAAAAAAAAAAAAAATTTCCAGCGGTCATATACGAGCAAAATCATAGCGTCCAATGGCACCTTTAGGTACGAATTCAGTCTGATTCGTAAGAGTATTTGGTAAGGTCGTGGTATTTTATGGAATTTTTCCTGTTCTGTGACAGTGCGGCCTGTTTTTCTTCAAACGAATCAACGCCGTATTCAAGGAACGCGCTCTTTTCGTGACTTACGTGATATTTGTGCTTTTTGACTTCGTGGACTTCAAAGAAAGTCTTCGATCCACTTCAAGCAACTTTTCCTCGGAAAATTCGCACCCTCGGTCGAGGTCGCAGTTTGCACGCAACAGTTGCCTCTACTTGGTAATGAGATTGAATCAAGTCAGAATTTTTTTTTTTTCAAATACTAAATTTGATCATATTTGAAAAATATGTGATTTATTTTTAACGGGAAATGCAGTTTTCCACTTTACAGACGTGGCAACTCTGACTTCTCGGCAGAAATCACATAATCGTGCTGACAACGGAAAATTATACATTTGATCACGATATCTAAATATTTCAGATAAAGACATGATACAACATACCCAGATATTAAGAACTAAAATGATGATCTAGGATGGTCTAGGCTTTAAACCTTTATCTACTCCAATTGAAGCTTTTTAAATCGAACTTGAACTGTGCGAAGACCGATATGCTTTCATCAGCCTGATGAATTTTCATCCAAATCCGTTCTCGGAGCGAGCAAACTTCGTACTGATGCGACTGATTCGTCATTCAATTGGGAGGGGAGGGGGAGGAATAAACTTATGTAAACTATCTGCAAGAATGGTCAGCCCAAATAATTTCCATGGAAGAGATGTTCGATGTGAAGCGTCCACTTTCAATGTCCACTTAGAAGTTGACCACAATTAATTTCCAGGAAATCTCGCAACTTGCTTTCGTAAGTCCCAAAGTTTCGTGAAATTAATCGCCACGAGAGAAGAGATTTAAAATCGGGGAAAGATTCGCCATACACTGTTGTCGATGCCCTCGAGATCTTGGGTTCAGCGCACCATCTTTCTTCGAACGTGACTCCCAGGGAAAAAACCCATGAAGTAGGAAAACAGGTTCGAGACACCGCAGCAGCTCGCGTCAGACGATCACCGCTCGGAACGCAAAGGCCGACTGGAGGGGAAGGAGCAGTTGCCCGACCGCGCACACGCCCCAGAGGAGACGATCGGAGTGGGAAAAGGGGGAGCGGAAGGGACCGATTTCTAAGAGCGACCGATAGATGTCAGGAAATGTTCCAGAAAAAGGTTGGGGTGAAGGGGGGGGCCCTTCACCCCAACCTTCTTCACTCGCTTCTTCTCTATAGAGCCGCTCATTCCGGCAGTGGCGAACTCGTGGAAACTGGACAGAATACGGTTCCAACCCCTTCTTGTTATCAGGAAATCGAGATATTTCGGATTTAACAACGGAGACATAACTTGCAGCATATTCTGACGGAACGCTTGTGCTTCTCCTCCAATTTCAGGTGAAGAAAACATGAAAGTTGTGCAGGATTCATGTATTTGACCGAACCGACCAGTTAATCCATGACGCTGGCCCTCACAGTCTTCTGAATGGACCGGGGGGAAGGCTTCGAAATCAATCATCCAGCGATGGTAAAGCGATGTCATATCCCGATTCCCATCAGAATTCAGAGGCATGGGAAGCTAATGCCAATGAGCCGTCATCTGCAGCCGGGCATATGTTTATGGTCCTGCCAGACCTAGTGCAGAGGAAAAAGAAATTGCTTGCGTTTTTCATGGTGATTCCAGGAAACACATTTCACGCAAGCAGGGCCGCCCAGAGGTTTTCAGGGGCCCGGGGCAAAACTAAACCTGAGACCTCCTTGGGGACACCCTTAAGGCCCTTTGGAGGCCCCCCTTGGGACCCCTTGATACTTTGGACCCGGGGCAGATTGCCCCAATTGTTCCCCCCCCCCCCCCCCCCCCCCCCCCCCCCCCCCCCCCCC